TGCAGTGAATATGTAAAACACTGTATTTAAAAGCTTTTCAAATATATTGAGAGACTTGTAAATGTATGGGTAGCAGTAATCCACTTGTCTATCCACAATTTAGTTTCAGCAAGTTAACATCCTTATAAATATTGTTCTGTAACAATATACACTGACTGATGCAAAATTGAAACTTGAACAAAATTCACACGTATTAAAAAGCATGCCAACCCTGGTTGATGTGCACACTTTACAAGATAACTTGCTTGAATATATATTGATCAATATACAAACTTAGACGATAAGTTCAAAGTTGAGTAAAATCCATGCCTAATTAATTAGCATACTGTACTCTGATTGGTCAATGGTTTTATGCCAAGTAACTTTGTCAGATAAGGCAAGATTCTGAAGAAAATTGGTTGATATCTTATTCAACAACAATGGCAAAGTTCAAAGATGTTCACAATCTGTGCATAATCTATTTAATGGTTTAAAATAATCAGGTATTGGTCAAAGGGGTAAATGCCAGTTTCAGTTTTTAATGTTCTATGAAATACATTGTATGGACAAAGGGAAGCAATTCCTAATTCCTATGCAAATTAATTATCCAAAGGTCTAAAATGATATATTCTAGAGGAAACTTGGTACCNATATATATATTATATATACATGCAATATAATGTGGCAGTCAAACCAACTGTACATTTTCGACTTGCATACAAAATCTAACCTCATATATTTATTTTTAGGCCTAAACAAGGCTTTTATATTTTGCCTAACTTGCAAAGTCTGTACTTTAAACTTTCCAACTCTGCCAATAACACTGCACTTTAGACATGCCCATGATTTACCAATCTGTGATGATGCAAGCTTATTCATCTGTACACATGCAAAGTGATACCAAAGATGACAATAATCACATCCAATGCTTTGATCCCCATATTTCTGTATGCTGTGTCTTTCCTTGATTACATGCTTTTAATTACATACAGGGCAGAAATGTGTTGTAGCAGGGGCATGATCAATGTCCATTGCCTCTTACATGACAGGTAGATCTGTGTTTTTCATTTTGATTTAACAAAGGCCTTAATTGAAAAAAAATCAGGCACTACAAACTTCACATAAAACAATATAAAGCTGTTAAGTACTTGCAAATAGTNTGTGCCGCCATCTTGGATGGGTTTATACGTCTATTCTAACGGGAGCTGTGCACGGTAAAGCTTTAAATCGGAAGCCTCAGTTTCGTATTTCTTTACCGGAAATGAAGTATGTGAAAGTGAAAGTAGGAGTTTAATGCCACGAAATATACGTCTGGTTATAGCGGTATTAACATTATTTTAAAAGGTTAAACATTATNAATTTTGTAACAAGGAGACATTTTATTTCTACAACATCATCCCCACAGCACTCACAAGTGACCAACAGGTCTGGACTTGCTCCTAAATGACAAAAAGACTTCAACATTTCTTTCTTGTAGAATTGTTAGGCCTCTGGTCCCAGTTCCCTGGCAATAGATTTTATATTTGGATGCTTTTTTTTATACTCCAACAAATTGCACAATAAAGGTTCCATATTTGTCACAAGATAACTTATAAGAGCATGTACAATACACTAAGACTGAGGTAAATTTCAAGTTTGACTGAAACCTGCTTTTGTTTATTGAGTCATCACAATCATATTTAATGACCTAGTCTAAGGGAGATAATTGATATATTTTTAAACCATAAAACTGTTTCCTTGATATTTGAATGTGCCCAGTCTATTACACATAATTGACAAGAGTGTTATGTACAGGACAATATTTATAAGCAGTGCTTTATATTATTTATCACTAATTAAAATAGTTTTCATAGCTAACTAATATATTTTTAGAAAATTTATATATTTGTATTGTCCATATTAGGGTATGACTTTATCGTATAAAGTCATACCCTAATATGGACAATACTTTACAAATACTACCCAAAACCACCCAATACTTCCCAATGCTACCCCATACGATCCAGTTATGAACCAAATACTTCTTTATTACTGTGAAATATCACCTTTGTAGACGTTATTTACTTCCATCTGCCATATTTTATCGGGAAATATGCGATTTGGTGCCGAAAACATCACCGAATTGCCGTGACTATGACCCAATACTACCCNAGTTTGCATTCAAAAAGATAAATAAAATGTTAACTAATGCTTTCATTTAAACATTACACAATCACCTTCAGGTATCAAGTTGTCTTGGTTTCATAGCCGATTTTACTGCTCCATTTTCTAACCGCACTGTATGTGATCATGAGTCGCCCTTCACTTTCTGTGACAACACGGTGTACATTTGGCTGACAAAATACAGCCGATGCAGTTGATATGGAATGGTAGTAAACTTCCTGAAATTGACCAGACTGAAGTACTCATAAGCCTTTCCGATTTTGTAATCATTTAGAATAGTCTGTACATATATAAACGGTCCCAGTTTCTCCTCGACCCACCCAGTGTGTAATAACAATGGGTCCGGTATGTCCATCGTCTACATGTAACAAATTAAAGTAATCTTCCTGATTTTGTTTTAAAATACAGGCATCAGTTTGGACACGGACTTAATTTAATTCCGTGGTTTGGACAAGTGGTAGCTTAATCGTAAATGCAGCAAAACATGCCGACAGCCATTTCTTGCTTCTGTCTAATCACGTAAATCGGGAAGTTTCCATGTTATAAAGTCATCTAAAGTTAGATTCTGATCATTAGGATCCGTTGTCTATAGAGTATATATAACGTTCAATACAAAAAATAAGTGTAAATCTAAATCTAAATCATGTCTCATGCGAGGCCCGTCTCATGTCGAACTGTCAAATTTGTTTACATTGGCGCGAGATGTTTTTTTCCCCTATGACCTCTGACCTGTGCCGCCATCTTGGATGGGTTTATACGTCTATTCTAACGGGAGCTGTGCACGGTAAAGCTTTAAATCGGAAGCCTCAGTTTCGTATTTCTTTACCGGAAATGAAGTATGTGAAAGTGAAAGTAGGAGTTTAATGCCACGAAATATACGTCTGGTTATAGCGGTATTAACATTATTTTAAAAGGTTAAACATTATAAAGTAGATGGGGGGTAAGTGGTGGAGAAAGGGATGTTCCTATGCATTTCATAACTGAAGGAAAACGATCCTACTGCATGTATAACTTACAATTTAGTCATTAAAATGTTTTATTTTGATTTTCTTCACGGATTTAATGTTTTAAAAGTAATTTGATAAAATTGTATTATTTCCCGTACAAATTCACAGACAGGTTATGGACATTTATTAATTGTTTCAGACTGGTTATAAACTTATATTAACTATAACAAACATATTAGGAACATTTATTAATTGTTTCAGACTGGTTATAAACTTGTATTAACTACAAATAAAGAGATATTTTTGAGAATGTGTAGCAAAGCTAAACAGCATCGTAAAAATAGGACCGCGGTAACTCTATACTAGCTACTTCCGTGACGAAGGATTTAAGAAGCATAGCATTTCGACGTTACCATAGCTTCAATTGTTCGAACACATGTTACCGGAAAAGAACTTCGCTTATTGCGCCTTGGCGCAAGAAGAGCTGCGCTCTTATGAAGCAGACGACTCCTGTGAAGAGTGTTTTATCCGAGGAAACGGTATATTGTTTTTTATGTACTTCCGATAGCAAACGCCTACATTGCTTGACTAAATTTAAAGCTCGGAAGGGAAAGTATGTTGATACCATTGAACAGTTTACAGGAGTTAAACTCCAGACTGAATATCTTGCGACTGTGCATGTCTGTGAAAGTTGCATGAATAAGATCACAGCCGCTGTCAATTTAAAGGAAACATGTATCAATAACATTGATGAGTTTATTAGCATACATAAGCGACAGAAGCGAATGTCAACAACTCCTCCATCGTCCCTTAAGATGTCAGTCGCCAATCAGATTCAGCGTTCAGTGGGAAAGTTGAAATGATTGAGTTTAAATGACGATGAAAAATTCGGTCACCCTAATGGGGTCTCACTAATTTGCGCCATAGGAGATTTAGCGCCATAGGTGCGCCATAGGAGTTTTTGCACGCCATAGCAAAATGTAAGTGTTTTATCCACGAAATATTTCGACTAATTTGTTGGTATACTCAGTTAACATGTTTTGGTAAAGTATCATTTTAAAAAAAATATGTACTTTGTTAGAAAATCGATCTTGATTACGAAGCACTTTTACACTAATTTGCGCCATACGTGTTTTTTCACGCCATAGCTAAATATAAGAATTGTTTTCAGCAAATAACTGTGTGTGACAACTGGTAAGTCATGTTCAAAGACCTCAATTACAAATCGGAACTCACATATGTTATTTATATATATTGAACTTGTATATTGGCCATACAAAAAATACATAGCCAGGTTAACGTAGTCAAAAAAGGCATTAAGGCCGATGTCTTTATAAAAATAGTTCACCGGACTTATAACATGTCAATCTCATAATCTAAAGTTTATTTATATACCTAGGTCATGCGGAGCTTTATTTCTCTTCTACTAACTGTTGATAGGAATTTCGACCACAAATAAAGATAGATGTTGCCATGCGAAATCACTAAAATCATAATAAAATCTCCTGGTAATACATTTTAGCAAATTTTAAATAAGAAAACAATGGCTAAGTAACCTTGATCGATAAATGAACTTGAGATGATGTGTCATTTGATAACATTATGTGATATATGAATGCGCTAGACATGTTATAAACAATGAAGCTGAAAAGTACAATAATGTTTACAACAAGTCTAGCTCTTTTATTACAATATTGAATGTTAAGGAAGGACATTTTATATGAAGTTTAAGTAGTATTTATGGTCAAATGTCTGTGGTTATACACATATATACCGTTAAAATATGTTACTCTGACATTTTACTATGATTTTTGTACATTCCCATAGCAACAATCATCTACTTGTGAGGCCGGTATGCCTCTCCACACATAGTTAAAGAGAAATAAAGCCCCGCTTGACCTAGGTATATCAATGATCTTCAAATAACATGTCATTAAGAAACATTCAGTTGGGTCACCTAGGAGATTGACATGTTATACATCTGGTGAGCAACTTTTATCATTACATCAGCCTTAATGCTGTATTTTTGACTTCGTTAACCTAGTTATATACCTTTTTAATAGCTCATGTACAAGTTCAATGTATTTAAATTACATATATATATATTCCGATTTGTGATAAGAATATTTGAATATGACTTGCCATGGGGTTGAAATTTAGGGTGACAATTACCTCTTTTGGGGGCTTGTTGAACCTTAACGTGCTTATTATATTTGCATTTTTTTTTAAATCTGATTTAATATTTGATGATACATGTTCATCAAATTTAACTACATAAAAAATAAGGATCTTGGGTCTTGATTTTCAAATTAAAATGCATTATATTGTACTAATTATTATTTTTTTGTTAAAGATGAAAATGTATAATTGTAATGAATGTGATAATTATGCTGTTTCATTAATCCAATAAGTCTCGTAAAGGTAAAAGTGTCAACATGGCACCTCCATCACCCAGACTCCAGATGCATCATTGATCAATTTGACATTCATTTCATTTCATCAGATTTTATTGACTTTATATATGTCAATTGGATTGGACATCAGGCTAGGCCTATTTAAGTCCTTTCCAAACTTATTTACAAACATTACATATAGTTCTGTCATAACAATCAAATTAAACAGTTCAGGGGAGATAACTCCAATTTAGCTTGTGAAATGAACATATAACAACTTTTGTTTAATCATTTTCTGTTTATGTTTTAGATATTAACAATTAAATAAATCATGCATATTTATTGACAACACATCCTACATAAAATCCAAGGTATACAGGCCCAAAATTTGACATTAAAATATATAAAAAAAATTAACTGGTGTTATGTGTTATCTCCTTACACTCCTTCTACAGCATCTTATTTCGTAACCTTCAACATGTATTGCATAACAGATTGATGTATTTGGAACATTTCGTCATTTACGTATATATTTCAAAACACTTATGTTATCTACACAGACATTTCACAACTATTATTTTTTTTCACAAAAAGGTGACATTAATAGGACTTGTATCACAATTATGACACAATTATGACATCATGTGGCGCGCTGTACATTTCATAACTCTTTTAATAGATAATTATTACCCCGGAGTGATATTTCGAAATACCGGATGTAGTTTTGCCTTGACCGTCTCCATTAATTCTTCTTCGATCATGTCATAGTCATCATTTTGCTGCGTCCTACCACACACCCTAATGTCAACGAAATACATCACATTAATGTATCCTGGGGAGGGTGCGTGATATCTCATCAACACGCCTTCTTGACCTTCGCTATCAACTCCATCGTCGTTGCTATGTGTCTCCAGAGAAAAATAGCATATTTCAAGTACTTTTTTGCCGACTTGAATACCATCAATATCATGATTCAACAAATATATATTCTAAACGTTTTCTAAACTGACCTTTACCTTTTAAGACAACCTTTGAATGGAATATTATCACATGACGGTATTGCGAAATATCACACTGATGTCATTACACCATATCTATTAATTAATCAGACATCACCTCCGGCATTGCGAAATGTCATTACATAATATCTATGACGTCACTTCCGTCATTGCGAAATGTCATTACATCATTTCTATGACGCCACTGCCGGTATTGCGAAATCCCATTACATCATATCTATTTAAGCAATAAACTGCATAGATGTGGCAGACCAACTGGTATAACTGCCACATGTGTAACAAACAAACTGAATGGTACGCTAGATGATAAGTTTGTCTGTGACACATGTGGCAGTTATACCAGTTGGTCTGCCACATCTATGCAGTTTATTGCTTATATTTATACTTCCATAATGAGAATTCGCAAAAAAAAATATGTCTTTTCCAAATTTCAAATTTCCCGCTTATTACCGTCAGGTCAGGTCAGTATCTAGAACGGCACAAAGATAACAGCTGACGTCATGCGCTATTTCCCATACAAAATTGAAAAGACTCCGCAACTTTCGTTAATAATTCATTTGATTTTGATTTATATATATATCATATTCTCGATTCATAAATAGTAACAAATGACATTTTGTAAGTAACTAATCAAGTGTCGTAAAACATTTTCCGATTTTATTGCGACCTATATCCGGCGCACGCACTCAACGGAAGCCCGCAGTAATCAGGTCAGAGTTATATTTGCGGTCCGGCATGTTGTTGATGTTGATCGTGCAACCGGAGGAGGTTGAATTGGTGAAAAATCCAGGCGTAAAATTGTTTGTTGATCTCACAGACACTTGAGACAGCCAGCTGGTGTTAGGGATCAAAGCAGAAGATACCGATAAGTTCGGTAGTGACGCTGTTAAGTCGCTCGGAGGTACAAAGACCAACTTCATTTATAGTCTCATAAGATGAAGCTGCTATTGGCAGTACTTTAGTAGTAATATAGAAGGGCTTTGCCACACCAAATGTAAATATTTATATATATGACGTCACTTCCGGCAACTGGGTACCGTATATACTGCTCTTAAAAAAATATTTGGACAGATATTTTCTTTTCGTTTTGGATTTCGAACTGTCTTTTTTTTTACAGATAGATCTTAAATGTTTCACTGGGAAGTAAATAAAATGCACCATTGTCTTGCTGTATCCATTGTCTGTCGTTGTCTTCCACGGAACCATTGAGTATCCTGAAACTCACATTCCAAAAGATGGCAGGAGCCTCTCATTTCATTGTACACTTCACGGAAAGTACCATACATTATGGATATTACCCAAAACTCTTTAGATTTCTGTAGAAATAGAACATGCTGAAGGAGGGGTTATTTGGGAGTAAATCTTAATTCAGCTGTCGTAGC